AACAGGAGCAGGAGCCAAATCCCCTACTCAGGAAAACTACCATATTGCTGGGTGAAGAGGAGAATTTCATTTAGGGTCTGAGGTGGTACATCTAGGAGATGCTGACTAGCTCTCCAACAGAGACTGTGTTGCAGAAGAGAAGCTTGTAAATAGTTTGAGGAAGTTTGTCCTCAGTTATCAGTTCCCTTGGGCATCCTATACCCCCCTTACCCTATCCCAGTTCTAAATCCCTTCAATAAACAACAAAACAAAAGCCCAAGGGCTGATTTTTTACTTTGAATGCAGGCTTGTGTGGATTGCCTGGCTGTGCAGTACTATAGGGGGGACCCAATTCATCAACAACCCCTAAGGGGGTAGTGCTACATCGATATTCATGCTGCATTAGCTCTACACCTATGATCTAGAAAGTTCTCAAGCCTTCTAGATGCAGAGGGAGCGATCAGTCTGACAGCAGCTGATCGCACTGAACAGACCTAACTAGCAGAACAAGGCATCACCGATGTAGTGTGCCAGTTATGCTTTTACCTAGCAATTAATTACTAAATTTACTTATCAAAATCCAAACTAAAGCTAACTATCTAAACCTAGTACCTACCTAGGAAGGTGCTGCATTAGTATATAAGTTGTAAAACAGTGTTCACATTAAATATTTATTCATTTACCCTGCTATTAGAGGACCCATACTATAGAGTCTACACTTGACCTTCAAATTATTTTACATTAATTACAAGAAGATACACAAAGGCCATCTGAGTGTTCCTCTTACGCTTAAAGAATAAGGGATGACCTATGTACTGTATACTTTTGCCAAATTGTGCCATGTATTTGCCCCTAATGTCTGTCTGTGCATCTTCCATAATATTATGTACCTCACAATTTCTGTGCTTGTTGGCTTCTATTTGAATGGGTTGTGAAATGTTTCAATAAAAATTACTACCTTTGAGAAGGAAGTGTAAAGCACACTAAACTACACAGTAAAACATATTTTGTTCACGTTTCTAAATATTTCTCAGGCATCGTTACAGTGCCCAGATATAATAAATATTTTGAGGAAATCTATCCAGAGACTTTTAGTGAATGTAGAGGTTGCTCAGGATTTGGTATCAAATTTGATTGCTTCAGAAAGCAGAAAAAGTGTGCTTACAGGCACTGCCGTGGATAAGGGGGTATCACCAGTTCTCCTGTAGGGGGCCCAGACCAGCAGGGGGGGCCAGGCAGCTGGGTGAATTAGATGTGGGCAGGGAGGGTAATCGGCATGGCAGGGGGAAATTACTGGATCCAATCCCCTGTACGATTCCCTCTGCAGCAGCTGACAGCTGGCTTCTTCTCTGGCTTTAGCTGCTTCAGAGAGAGCCATACAGGGGATCGGTTCCAGTAATTGCCTCCCCGCCACACCCATGACCCTCCCCATGTATCATACATTTCCCCCTGCTGCCAAGGCCCACCCGCAGTGCTACCAGCCCCCTTCCTCTCCTTACCACCAGCAGCTGCAAGCACACAATAGGATCCCTCAGGATGGAGAGTGGGGGAAGGGTCCTGTATATATGTCACATTTACCAGCCTCCTTTCTTAAAGGAACACAGTTAGTGATCGGTACCTATCACTCACTGTGTTCATTCATAACTGAAGCATGGTAAACTTTTTTTTTTCCTTTTTTAGGGGGGGACCCTGTCAGGTTGGCTGTATGGGGCACCGTGGTTTCTAACAGCAGCCCTGCTTATAGGATCCCTCAACTCTAGAGCTTAGTTATAAAGACTTGCAAAGTAATGACTTTTCATTATGCAGCGATTTGCCTGATTTAACTGTTAAAACATGATTAGAGTAGCATAACATCATAAAAATGTTGGAAAAAAAAAGCCTTTATCGAGTAACAAAAGAAAAATTGCCCAAACCTGCATTACAAAGTGTACATCTGCCAAAATCAATGATCAAATAGCAAAATATCAGTTTCAAGAACTGATATTATCCTATATAAACCCATTCTCCCAGTTTGCAGTCTTGATCTCAGAACTACATAACTTGTAAGCCTGTGCCACCTTCCACTGATTTTTCACTAGCAAAACCTAATGCTAGCAAAAGGAGACTTAGGCCTAAAAAGTGCAGGTAAAAGCACAAAAGCATCAATTATGTGTAATGTTTTTTTCCTTTCCATAAACAGTTTTAGTCAATTTACAATTTGCCTACAAAATGTTACCATTTCAAGAGAGTCAGTATTCTTGCACAGCCCCTCCCACACTGTATGTCATAGCCCTCTTCTGGGACTGCCTAATTACTGTCTGTGATGGCCCAGCACCTCCACCCCCCCCCCCTTAAACTCGCTACATATCCTTTTATGTAGCAGCTATGGAAGGAGCAAAAGGGAATATTATAGTGTCACTTGGGTTACAGCAGCGAGTCAGCTGAGCTGCTGATATCACATCCAAAACGTCAGTGCCCAACAGCATGCTCAAGGTTTTTACAAATAAATAACATGCACATATACTTTAAATGCACATATATATATAGTATGTATTTGTATGAATGTGAGTTAGGGACCTTAGATTGTACACCCCTTGAGGGTTAGGGACTGATGTGAATGTACAATATATATGTAAAGCACTGCGTAAATTGACGGTGCTATATAAGTACCTAAAATAAATAAATAAAATATTCTTCTGGAAAGATGAGATGGTTGTTAAAAGGAATAGTCTGATGACAAGGTCTCTAACTGATAAATTAACATATGGATGTAAGTGCTATATGTAAGTAATTCCTTTCTATTTTGCTTTTCCCATTGAAGCACATCTGAGTGCTTAATTAACATCCACACATTCTTTAAATAGCTTTAAGACAGGGGACTTGTGTGTCGCATATTATTTATGTCTTTAGTGAATTATAGCTTCTTCTTCCACTGAGGAACAATAACCAATAATTTACCTCCTGCCAAGCATTCTACAAAAAGAATACTAATATACTTCTAATTTCTAAGCCAAAAATTGTGATAGTAAGAATCCCTTTCTACACATTTTTTTCCTGTACAACCATGTACCATATAATGAGTACTTACTCCTGACAGGAGCAATCTGTAGAGCCAGTCTCCTGCTTCCAAGAAGTACTATCCAGGAAAACCTAGTTTACAGCATAGATGGACGCAAACACAAGTGCAGGTTATACTGGATCCCATCATATTGGAATTTTTCATAGAAGGGTCAAGTACAAATGTATACTGTAATGTTAAGTGGAAGAATAATAGAGTGGCATTGAGGACATTTTTATAGATGCATGCATGACATTGGTGCTTAACCTCTTGTTTATAGCCCTCAAGCTGTAAATAGGTAGAAAATGAAGGGCAGTGACACAGTGGAACGTATTGCTGTAGTCACTTGATCTGCCTTCAAACTCTTTAAGCATACAATCTAACAAGAGCACCAAACACTTCCATGAGTGCAATGCAATTTAATTCATTTAATATGGATTCATAGCAAAAAAATATATAACAGGTTTTTGGGGCCAAATATACTCCCCCTTAATAAAGGCTTAATAATTATGACTGTGCATAAATGGAAGTAAGCAGATACCAAATAGATCTGCACCTTGGTTTACTGCTTGGAATGGTTTCAAGAGGGTAGACAGTGTTAGTGAATGCAGTGTAAAATTACCTTGAGCCCGGCCCTGTATGCCTACGCCTTCCCTCTATCCTTTTCCTGACGCCCTCATCCTTCCCTTCCTGTCCTTGCCCTTTGTCTATCCATTCCCCCACTCTTATCCTTTGCCAGTCTAGTACCTGAAGCTTCTCATAGGAGACTAATCCTTTGTGGTCCTTTACTTGATTGATGGTTGCACTACTGTTGATTTGATGTGCCTTAGGCCTCCTTTTTTACTTTTTGTAACTTACTGTATTGACAAATGTCTTTCTATTGGGTAACTGACAAGTTCATGGCATTGTGACCAAGATTGCATCACCCTTGAGCTATGTGGAAGCTGGATGTGCTTTGTATGTTGCTTATCTTTGTTATTGGATAATGTCTAATAAAAAACCTTTAACAAAAAAAAAAAAATGACCTTGGACATTTGTTTTGCACTCTTTTTGGATTGTATGTATGTGGATTCAAAACTATGCATCCTTTCCTTGTTCCTGAGAGGAATCTCCATTTTTTTGAACTGGTGCCAAACCAGAGCCAGTGTGTCCAGTGGCAATTTTAGTAACCCTTAGAAAATCTGAATGCAGTGCACACATTTTTCTTGTTTTCAAAATTCTTTGTGACCCAGATGATGTGTCCTAACAGTGCACAAACATTATTCTCTTTTTTCATTCTAAATGCAAGCAAAAGAAGCTCATCAAACAGAGATTTTGAAAGAATTGGAAAATATTTTTTCTGCATTGTCAAGCTGCAAAGCTTTGTTATTACCTGGAAATCCTAATAAGTGTTGATTAGACAGGAAGCATTGCTGGCTTAGACTAGGCTATCTAGGGTTGCAATTACAGGAGAATTGTCAAAATTATTACATTCATGGAGATGTGTGCTCCACCTGTATTTCATTCTCTAAAATGGAAACCAGAGATACAACAACAAGCCAAAAACCTTTTTTTTTTTTTTTTCCATCCAAATGATTTGGATGACTGAGCATGCATATTGTGGGTTGCACAGATGGTGACCTATTGGTGGTAAATAGATATTTTTTTTCTGAGAAGCTATGGCATAAGTAGAATGGGCTGGGTGAACATAAATAGGAATTGTAGAACTGGGATGGCAGTCAACAGTTCCTAGCTTCTTTACTTCATTTATAAGGCTAACTGACAGATTTTAGGTGGATTTACTGCAGCACCAGCATGTATTTAAGAATTTAAATGAGAAAATATAATGGAACAGGTAATGATGATGTGGGCTAAAAGGAACCAAAAAAACCTTCCATTAAACCAGTGCTAACCGCACCTAAGGGCCTTTAAAAAATCCCCAAAAAACAAGGGAATGTTTCCTCATTTTACAAAAGTGGGTAGAAACCTTCAAATCATTCTTTAATTTAGTTTTAAATTGAACTTGTTAGTGGGTTATTATTGTAACCAGGAGCAGACTGACCATTTTAAAACTCGAGCACTGCCCGAGGGCCAGGGGTCAATAGGGGGCCCATGAGATGCCCCTGGTACCTTTTTCATAGGCTTTTTTGAATTTGGGCAAGGACACAGGGGCCCCATGATCTCCTATTGCCCAGGGGCCCCATGAGTTGTCAGTCCGCCCCTGATTGTAACATTTACCTTGAAGTGTACCTGAAGTCATAAACCATGAAAAAGAATATGTGAAGGCTAGATGAAATATTTCTTATTAAGCAAACACCTTCAGAAGCCTACAATGTGGTATCAGTATCACTGGTGATCGTACTAACTTGACTGACTACACTACAACTGCAAAATTGGGCCTTTGTTCCACTAGCTTAACCCTGGAAGCCCTGTCTCAGTGTCGGCAATGTTGTGTTCTAATGCAAACCATCAGTAGCTGGATTTTTCTTTTAGCTGGCCCATATGATGGTCATTCTAAATCTTGTGCATATGAGTAATGGTAATGTATACTAATGTTTAGATTTCAATATTTTTATTAAATTTTCAGCAACTCTACAAGGCAACAATTCAAGTAGAACAAACATTTCTCAAGTATAAAGATCAGTACAAATGGTATCTAAAATTTAGGTGTAAACATATTTCAAAAATAGTAATAGGCAAGGTAAACCAACAGAGTTATGACATCATAGAACTAATTTTCCACCAGATATGCAGCTCTCTTACATAGAGATTATAGGTGGAGTGAAAAGTACAAGAAACAAACCATCATACTGTTGAAAATAGAGGAGGAATTCAGAGATAAGGAATGAGAAAGAAACAGAAAGTATTGCCTGTATCTGTAGAAAAGGTAATGAAGGCGTTAGCTAGTAAATAGATATATATCTGCTCTGTGGATCCCACATCTTGTCATATTTTGCAGTAGTGCTATGGAGGGTACAGGTGAGCTTATGTTTCGCTATCATTATCTTAGCTGCTAAAATCATACACAAAGTCAACCACTTAAGAGTTTTTTGAGATCTCAGGGGATAATTTCTGGAATAAAGCCATTTCAGGACATCTGCAGATATGTATACCTGTGACTGAATAGATGAGACCAAAGACTCTGATCCAAAATCTGAGAACTTTGGGGAATTGCCACCAAATGTGGTACATGGTTCCAAGTTGGCCACAATGCCTAAAACAGTTCGGTGGGGCCGTCGGGTGCATTTTCACAATTCTCGTGGGCACCAGGTACCATCTTAGTGACATCTTACAGATAGATTCTATCAACAATGTGTTGACCTAGTTAGCCATTTCCTGCCATTCAGTTAATTCTAAGGAAATGTTCAATTCCGTTTCCAGGAGCATCATACGGTGAAGCTTGCAGTTCAGTTCTGTCAGAGATAAATATAATGTTGAAATATGGCCTTTCGACAGATCTCTGGACTGGACAATTCAAAGTATTTAAGTGTCAAGGGTCCTGTAAGCAATGCAAGTTTAGTCTGAATAAAAGATGTGATTTTATTACAGCAAAAAATTTCAGTTGAAGGCATGTGGAATTTTTCATGATAGTATTGTAGGGTGTGCAGTTTATCACCATCCAAAAAGGATTCAGGATTCGTAAAAGGCCCTTATTATTTCCACTATTGAAATGGACTTGGTAATAGACCTAGAGTAAATTCTGGATTGCAAAAGATAGCAGTTAAAGGGGTATAAGATGAGGAAAGAGGTTTGTAAGCCTTTTGTCTGTCCCAGACCTCTAAAAGAGTAAGATAAATTAGGACAAAGGATAGGAAGGGGTATCTACTGGGAAGCCACATTAATGATCCAATAGCATAAGCACAGCAGAAGATTATTACTCCGATACACTAATTATATAAATAAATACATACTAATTACCAATTATTACTCCATACACTAATATTATAAATTGACATGGTATCAGGAATATATTCTTGTCAGATATGGGATTGTGTCTAAAGTCTGCCTTCGTCTAGTGATGTAAATTTCCCATGAGGCTGCAGGAAGACAAGGCATACAAAGTGCCTAGACTAAAGGAATTGTGGGCAGATTCCCAAATAAAATATTTTAAAATGTATATCAGTTGAAGGGGTTCTTATCAAGGCACCAATGTTCCATGGGAGATGTTGCGTTACGTATATAGTAATAGTTATGTGCTAGTAGGGCTGCTTAAATATTGGAGGCAAGCCATTGAGGCAGTTTTAGAAAATTCCTGTCTGGAAGGTACAATTAATCTCTGGATAAGCATTGGAGTAGTTTTGGTAGGTACACGATGACAGACATATGTTAGCTGCAAAGTGGAAATTCAACCCAGCCAGAGCTTTGAATGCAGATTGTTCAGAGTAAACAGTCATGTGGGTGCATGTCAAACTACAAAAATAGCAATGTCACTATGATTAATAGGACATTACTTATTCTGAAACAATAAATGCTTTATATAGAACCACCTTAAAGACCCCACTGTAAATAGTTGGTCAACTATAAAAGAATTGCATCATAACCAAATATCTAAAGATTTTTCCTTTGTGCAAAATGCAAACTGACTCATTGCTGTGGGTCACAACACCTTCCAAAAACATTACATGTTGCAGTACCTTTTAAAAAATAACTACTGTTAAATATTAAATTTTCAGAAATCATTTATTACAGGTGAACTCCAGGCAAGCAATAGTTTCCAAGAGAAGCCTCTCTCCCATCCAATAATATGGGGAAAAAGATTATGGGGTTGATTTACTAGGAGAATATAGACTTAAAGTGAATGTTCACTGAGCTTAGTGAATAGAGCTTAGTGAATAAGATGAAGCCGTATTTACTCAACATACCAATCATGTGCTAGAAAAAAATTCCTTTTTTCTTTTAAAATTAGCCTTGCATAGGATTGGGTATACATATTGAGCACAGGATCACTTTATTTACGAACATCCACTGCTCTTTAGTAAAAAGTTATCCCATTGCATCAATAGAATTTAAAATGCTTTTTATTCACTTGTGTTCCTTTGAAGCTCCAGTTTGGTATGTGCTTCAAGTGCAGAGACAGGTAGCACAGCTGGAACTACAAGACAATCAGGTAACATAGTGTGTACTGGGTCCAATTAAGCCATCATCAACATACAAATTAAAACAATCCATGTACTACAAAATAGTGGCTTAGTTTCATTGTGGTGACCGGTCTTCAAAAAAGGATGAGGGATCGAGCCCTTTTAGCACATAGAGGTAGCAGATGTGTAAACAAGGGATCGATATGGTATGATAAGAATCAATGTAGGGATATTCCAATTTGCAAAGTTCCTATTCCTCTGTACCTGGAGTTCTGATTTAAGATAAATAAAAATATGCTACATTTTCTTATGGAATAAATTACATAAAGCAATAATATAGAATCTGGATGCTTTGCAAAGGGGCCATAAGGAACAAATGTTTTCATAGCTGTAACTGTCCTTAACCTTCGCAGCACACCAGCTGTCCAGAGTAACGAATGCCATTCAGAGTCATATCCTAACACATGGTAATGACTAAAGCACAGTGTATGACACACAGCCAGTGCCTGTGCTGTTATCACTATCAATGAAATGGCACTTAGCCAACCTCATGGTGTCTCTCTGTTGAAGAAATATACAAAAAAGTGTGTGTTTTTTTAAATAATGCACTTATTCTAAATTCTAAGATTTAATTCATACAGGTTTTCTTTTTCCAGCATGCTAAATATAAAGTGAGTCTATCAATGTAAAAATGCCTAGCCCTTCACAATATACCCAGCTTGTTGTGTAATCAAGCAGACCATAATGGCTTTTAAAGGAACCTGTCAAGACAGAAAGGATTGGGCCTTGGACGACCTTATAGCACTTCTCAATGAAGTACCTCCGGGTGACCTTATTGACCAGCTGGATATTGAACCTTTACTCAATCAACACATCAGCCCTGAAAACTCTGAATTGAGTCTTTCCACTCTTGGAAAAAAAGTCAGGTAAATTCCCCTCTCCAAGCTTTAATCCAAATTTTGCAGCCTTTTTAACCTTAACAATGAAATAAATGAATAAATTGAAGGTCAGCAACTCCAGTAACAACCTCACTGAAAGTGAAAAAGTGGCATTAAAGAAATTATCCAATCGCCTTAATATAATGATTAAGCCATCTGACAAAAGGTGGAAACATCATTGTCATGAGCAATGATCAGTATAATCAGATGTGTCTTAAAGTCCTGAACAATAGTGAGTGGTACCGTGCAATCTTTAAATCTGTCTTAGACAAATACAATCAAGAATTCTACCTCTTAGTTGATGAGGCTTTTCATAGACAAAACATTGAGGGAATTTGTTCGCACAAGCCATCCCAAAACCCCAGCCTTTTATGCTTTGCCCAAGATCCATAAGAACAGCTCAGACCCTCCAGGAAGACCAATAATATCAGGTTGTGGTTCTTGGACGAAAACATTAGTAGAAAACAGAAAAAAAGAAAACATTAGTAGAACGAAAACTTTGTAGAAGAAAAACTAAAACCTTTTGTTACCAGTCTTCCATCTTAAGTTCGAGATACAATTAATTTGTTACAAAACCTGTAGGGTATTCAACTCTCTAAAGATGCCATTCTGGTAGCTATTGATGTTGAGGCACTGTATAGTTCCATCCCCCATGGCAAGGGACTCTCTGTCAACAAACATATACTGTCACAGTCATGTAAGCAGGACCAGAAATTAAAAGAATTTGTGGTTTTGGCCTTGGAATATATTCTAACCCACAATGTCTTCATCTTTGAGGGTTCCCATTTCCTCCAGGTAAAGGGCATAGCCATGGGGACTTACTATGCCCCATCCTATGCCAATCTGTACCTGGGGGAGTGGGAACTAACTATTTTGGCAGGTAAGGAGTGGGGATTTTTGACCAACATTATTAGCATGTTGTTTCGCTATATAGATTATATCTTCTTCATCTGGGAGGGACTCACTAATTTGCTTTCATGCTGCCTTGAAGTTATGAATAACAACACCTTAATCTTAAATTCATAGTGGTCTATGATCCTGCGATGATCACTTTTTTAGACATCACCATCAACAAAGATTCAGATGGAATTCTCACAAGTAATCTTTATAGGAAAGCCACTGCAGGCAATACAATCCTTCATGCCCATAGTTCACACCCTCGGTCCTCGATGTTTTCTCTCCACCATTTTTTTCTGGCCGGCCTT